TTAATGAAGCTCTGAGAACCCCCTCACACTGGGCATCGTCTCCCAGAGCATGACGGGAACATCTTGCAAGGTCACGGGCAGGAATAAGAAGTTGGGCTGGTGGGATGGGTGGGGGACAAGAGCATGTTGCATTCAGTCTTCTGGGCTTGACAAGGGTGGTTTCAGTAGCATGTACCAACACTGGAGAGGGTCTGAGGGTGGTGATCACAGAGGACATTGGTCTGATTCCAGGACAAATGAGAAGTAGATAAAAAGAGAAATAGAGACAAGCAGGTCTACCATACAGCTCTCTGCCTCCCTCCCTCCTTCCCTTTCTGTCTTGCTCTCATTCATAAGGGCTGCATTCTCCACAGGAACCTCACCTTGTCACCCAATCAGTAAGGATTTTTTCCCCTGTGAAAACTTGCCCCGGCTGAGGTGCTCCAACACCTAAAACTCCACACGAAAAAGAATTGTCTCCTTTCACTATCTGTTCACTATCTGTTGAAATGTGGGTGGGCTCAATTTTGTGAAGGTAAAAACATCTGCACATAGTCTAGGTAAAACACCAAGGACAGAGGCTCAAAGTAGTAGCAGTGATGACCGGCTCTGTGCGGTTAGGGACAGGTGTTAGTTTATTCTTCAAAGTATCCCCACCTTTTCTATTCTCTGGCAGGGGCAGAGGGAAGGCATCTTTTTCCCATTCCTGGGGTGGAGAACTAAGCACTGCACAAGCCTCTATGAAGAGTTGCTGTTGCCACCGCTGTCGGCAGTTCCCCAGGGGACATGCTTCATGCTTCACCTAAGCTGAGTTTCTCGGCTGGCAGGGCCATTTGGAAATGGTGTTGCGAATGCTCCGCATTCCACACTTCACCAAGGTCAAGATTTGAGAAACATAAACAAACGCCACCCAGCTAAATTGGAGCTTTGGTCCAAGGGGCAGGGCCAGCAGCAGGCAGGGAGAGAGCCACACCCCCTGGGTAGGGAGAGGGAGCAAGTCTGAGAACACTCCTGAGGGTGCAGTGGCTTGGCTGGATGTGGAAGGAGAGGAGGAGTCTGCTGCCAGGGAAGAAGGGGTAAGAGAGCAGCGAGAGTGTTCTGGCACCTGCTCTTGTGGCTGCTTTGGAAAATGTCCCTTCCTTTGGTGTTAGCTGCCCTCACCTTAGCCACCTTACTGATGGAGACCCATGTACAATGGGACAACAAGTTGCTATGTCCTGCCATGATCAGTTGCAGATCAGACATTGTGTCCCATAGGGTTTTCATTGAATTTTCAGAAGTAGGTCTCCTGGCATTTCTTCCTAGTCTTTCTTAGTCTGGAAGCACCACTGGAAACCTGTTGAGTGTCAGGTTGTTGGTGGTGTGTGCCATCAAGTCGGCTCTGACTCATATCTAGTCTATAGGGTTTCTGAGGAGCGGCTGGTGGGTTGGAACCACTGATCTTGCAATTAGCAGTGCTTATCTTACAGAGCCACACTAGAACTCCACTGAGCATCACTGTTATTGTTATGTGCCGTCAAGCTGGTTCCTACTCATAGGAACCCTGTGTAGGGTTTCTGAGGAGCAGCTGGTAGGTTTGAACCACCAACCTAACAATGAGCAGTACAGTGCTCATCCCACAGCACCACACCAGGGCTCTTTGAGCATCATAGCAACACGCAAAAGTGCCAGTAAGGTCCAGCTGATGGATGTACATAGGGTGCATTGGCCAGGAATCCAGCCCACCTCTCCTGCATGGAAGGTGAGAATTCTACCACGCACCCACCATCTCTTCCCTTAGTGCAGGTAGAATTGCAGCGACGGAGTCTCTTCCTGCTTCTCTGGTCCTCGGTTCTCCACTGGACACCCATCTCAGGGCTCTATCCTTGGCCCACAGTTCTTGGCCATTACACAATTTCTAGCGGTTCAACCACAGCCCTCTCTAGAACATTCTCAGGTCTCTGACTCCGGGCCTGTATCTGTTCCAGAGCCTCAGTTCCTCATCTTTCATTAGCATCCTTACTGTCACTCTTATGTTCAAAGCAGAACTTCTTCATCCACCACCCACCTCCTCACTCTGCTCCCAAGTCAGCTCCTCTTCCCAGCTTCTCTCTTATCTTGTTGTTGTTGTTAAGTGCCGTTGAGTCGGTTCCGACCCGTAGCGACCCTGTACAGGGTTTCCGAGGCTATAAATCTTTACGGGAGCAGAAAGCCTCATCTTTCTCCCGCGAAGCGGCTGGTAGTTTCAAACTGCTGACCTTGCGGTTCGCAGCCCAATTCGTAACCACTACGCTACCAGAGCTCCTTATCTTATCCGACATTAATTTAGACTGGAAAACTTCACAGCCGTGACTGCCTATAGTCTGCATATTTAATCAAATGCCACAGCCTAATTCTTCTTTCCGCTGAAATAAAACCAAAACCAGACCCTTGGCCATCTAGTAGATTCTGATGCGTAGCGACCGTCTGCAGGGTTTCTGAGGCTGTATATCTTTACAGGGACAGAAAGCCTCATCTGTCTTCCACAGAGCAGCTAGTGGATTCCAACTGCTGACCTTCTGGTTAGCAGCCCAACACACAATAACACTCATATTTTCCCTTTCTCTGTTGTTTCCAAAGTTGGAGCCAATTCTAAGCTTTGTGCTTAGATTAATGCCATGGTTCTCAAAACGTGGTCCCAGGACCAACACGGCCAGCATCACTTGGGAATTTGTTATAAATGCTGAGTCTCAGGCCCCACCCCAGGCCCACTACTGCATTAGAACCTCTGGGGTAGGCCTGGCCATCTGCATTTTTAAACACCCTTAAGTCGATACTGATGCTTTCGAAAAGTTTGAACCAGTGGATTTGTGTAATGATCTCCTGAGAGCTGTCCACAGTCCATCCTGAGTGTGTCTACCACATTAATTGACGTACTGTTATTTACTACCAAGGGTCTGCTTCAGAATTATCAATGGCTCTCAATTCCCTGCTTCCCAAAGGCTAAACTCCTTCACCTAGTTCTTAAAGCTCCGTTATCAGTCTCCACCTCTGTAAGTTTGTTCTCAGTGTCTTCACTCTCTAAGCCCCACACCCTCCACTCTGGTGCCTCCCTGGGCTACCCCACTTAGGGTGGATTCTGACCTTTAGCAATCCTCAACAGCTAAACTAGGAGGCTGATTTCCCTCCCTAGTTAGAAATACAAAGTAACATACTTAGTTGTAAAATGGGCTCGTGGAAATCAACCAAATTAGATTCTTTTCTGTAGTGATTGGCTTATTGCTTTAAAACATATTTACTTTTCTTTCTAAAAAAGTGCATTTTTTGGTGCCACTCTGCTTTCCTCATAGTCCAGTTTATGCTCAATGTTGTCCAGGTCTGCTTCTGTGGATCCAAGTCCTATTCACCATTGAGTGCTCTGTTCATTTTCAGAGCAATTCTGAATAAACAAATGAATGAATGAATAAGCAGCCTCCTTCATTCAGTTGGTCACAGGAAAAGTTATTTTGTTATGTTTTTTGTTTTCCCCTTTTAGCACCTGCAAAGTAGTTAATTGCAGGGTTCCTGGTTATATTGATCATCAAACTTTGTCTGCAGCCTGCCAGGATGTTGAACACAATCCCCTCCTCTACTGCCTAGATGTCCCTGGGGGGTGCAAACAGTTTGCGCTCAACTTTACAATCTTAAGGTTGGTGGTTTGAAATCACCCAGCAGTACCATGGAAGCAAGGCCTGGCTATCTTCTTGCTTAAAGATTACAGTCACAAAAACCCCATAGGGCAGTTCTACTCTGACACATGACTGGGTGACACACTGCAACATACAGGAGCAAAAGGAACCCTGGTGGTGCCATTGTTAAGTGCTCTGCTGGTAACTGAAAGCATAATATGCTGGTTCAAAGCTACCCCACGGCACCAAAGGACAAAGACCTGTCAACCCATAAAGATTACAGCTTAGAAAATCCTATGGAGCAGTTGTAATCTGTCACGGAGGGTTGCTGTGTGTCAGCATTGACTTGATGGCAACGGTTGTGTGTGTGTGTTTTCTTTTTGCGCTCTACTGCCTAGACCAAGTGTGGCAATGACTATGAGGTTGACACAGGTGCCAGCAATGTTTCTTTCTATTGTGCATAAGGTTGCTATGAGTCAGTACCGACTCAACGGCCCTTAACAACAACTACTGTCTAGACCTAGTTTTCAGTACCCTTTTTGCAACCAGGCACCCACTGCAGCTGTAGGATAGTCCCAGAGGTATGAGTCTCTACACATTAGCAAAGACACTACCCCATTGATGGGAATTATACTTGTAAGTCACTTCTCCAAAGTTAAAGGAAAAAAATAAATCCTTTCTTCAAATGAATTAATCAGGATGTAATGTTTGAAGATCATTTATAAACCCTCTACTGCGATCAAGTTTGGAGTCCTGGAATGGGGCTGTAGGATATGAGCTGGACTACTAACCACAAGGTTGGTGGTTCAAACCCACCAGCCACTCATTGGAAATCCTACACAGGATTTATCAGAGTCAGAACTGACTCAATGGCACGTAACAAGAAGAGTCATAAAGTTGATTCTGACTCACAGCGACCCTGTGTAGGACAGAGAAGTGCCCCTTAGGGTTGCTGAGTCTGTAAATCTTTACTGGAGCAGGTAGCCTCATCTGTCTCCTGTGGAACAGCTGGTGAGTTTGAACTGCCAGCTTTGAACTGCCCAATTCTTAGCCCACAGCGCCACCAGGACTCCTTATAAACCCAGCCGTACGTAAATGCCAAACACCTTCAACCTTTGAATAGAAGAACTGTGGTAAAGCAATTCTGTAAACCTGTAATTTAATAAGTGATGCATTTGACCCACAGAAAGAGTAGCTCGAGTTATCTGGGAACTTTGACCTAGAAGTCTATAGGTCTCTGTGGATGTAGGCATCCAAAGTTTTGAACAACCGTGTAATGTGAAGGGCATGAATCAGATGACTGTGGACATCTGTCCAGTAACTGCCACTGAAGTCACCCCAGCCCTCTTTTCTCCCAAGCCCATTGCCAGCCTCCCCAGCACCCCTGTGACTCACCCCCCATCAGTGGGTTGGAAAGGAGCCGGGTATCAGGAGGGCGCCCTGGCCCCAGGGAGGTGTTGTCGTTCCTGTTCCCTTGTTCACCATCCATCGCACTCTCCTGGCTCCGTGCTCCACTTCAGTTGCTCAGGAAAGTCCAAATTCCACGCCCCCCTCCCCTTGGGGAAGTTCTAGCTCTCAGTAGCTGGCTAAGCTGCTTGCATCCAGCCCAGGCATCTGCAGCAGGAGCAGTCCGGCAGCAGTCACCGAAGACCTACCTGTGGTCAGAACAGACACACGCACACACACACTCCCTCTCCACCTAGCTGGTTGGATGCCAGCCAAAGCTCTCACCAGCCCACAGCCCCAAGTCTCGCTGATGTCACGTCCTTTCCAAAACTTAGACCAATCAGTGAGGAAGCCTTGGAGTTTATCAGGAAGGAAACACAATTTGTAACTTTGAAGGTTGAACAGAACAGGGTGGGAGGTGAAGGTAACAATTTGAGGGCTGCGCTGTTGCTCCTGTAGCTGACACCCATTGGTTCTTTGGAGACCCAGAGGCTGCAGAGTCTGGTTCTTAGCTACAACTTGCTCACTCTTGCACACTTGGGAAATTAACAGCCCCGACCTCTCTGCACATGTGGTTTCAATTTTGCTGGGAGTTTCTTATAGGAAAATGTGTCTATATGTTATAAAAATACACATTTCGAAAAGAACTTTTGTTTTCTTCCTTTCAACTGCAAGGATTTCATTAACTGTAGTCCCTCACCCTCCTTTCCACCCACGCCTTTTAACTTCTCAATAAATAATTAACGGCTGCTTTTGGGAAAATGGGTTGCTGAGTGGCCTGGGGTGAGGACGGGGGTGGGGAAGGGGGGCGGGTAGGGGTGAAACCAGTATCATTCATTCCCTTAATTGTTCATTCTCAAAGTTAACTTTGGGAGGGGTTCATAGGGCTGCCTTTGCAAAATATTGGGGTTGTCTGTATACCTGCCTTCTTTGATAAGTCCCGGATCTTGGCACCCTGGGCTGATGGTTCAGGCTGGTGCTCCCCTCCCAGACCCTCTTCCAGGTGAAGGGGATTCTCCTCTGGGGGCAGCGGGAAGAGAAGGCCTCCGAGTTTCTCTCAAGGCAGATGTGTTGTTGTTGTTGTTGTTGTATGTGTGTGTGTGTTTTTAAGCCCAAACTATAGCCTCATTGTTTCAGATGTCAGAATCCCAGTTGGAGCATTTGGTAGCCAGTGGTAAGAGTTTGCAGAGTGTCCTTCGTCTTTTCAATTGTTGCATTCCCCTGCAGATATGAGGACAGATTAATCCTTGGTCATTTTCACATACATGTCAATATACTTTCATGTTGTTCTCTGCTTGGTGCACTTGATCTTGGCAACTTTTCCATTTCTGTGGATGAAGTTTACCACACTGCTGCTTTTATTGCAGAGCCTTCGGTAGTCCCTGTCACCCCCCAGGGTGGAGGTAGAAGGTTTCCATTTTTGTACTACTACACAAACAATGGGGACCATATTTTTGTACATCTGGCTTTTTGCACATAATACTAATATTTCTGGAGGCGAGATTCCTAAAAGTGGGATGTTGTTGTTGTTATGTGCCATGGAGTCGATTCCGACTCATAGTGACCCTGTACAGGGTTTCCAAGGCTGTAAATCTTTACAGGAGCAGAAAGCCTCATCTTTCTCACGCGGAACAGCTGGTAGTTTCGAACTGCTGACCTTGCGGTTTGCAGCCCGATTCATAACCACTACGCTACCAGAGCTCTTTGGGGTCTAAAAAGAATGCTCATACACATGTGATCTAGAGCTATTGACACACATATACGTGGGTACAAATGTTGTTAAGTGCTGATGAGTCGCTTCCGACTGACTCATAGCAACCCTATACAGGATTTCCAACGTACAGCTGGTGGATTTGAACTGCTGACCTAGTGGTTAGCAGTCTAGTGCTTATCCTACAGCACCACACCAGGAGTCCTGAGTCCAAATAGTAGTGGTGGTGTACTGTGGAGTCAGTTCTGTCTCATAGCGACCCTGCGTAGGGTTTCCGAGGCTGCAAACTTTAGGGGAGCAGAAAGCCTCATCTTTCTCCCACCTGAGTACAAATCCGGCTGGGGAAATTGCAGTTCGATCAGTGGACTATATCAATGGCAATTTCCTGGCTGTGATATTGTACTAGAGTTTTGATCGATGTTGTCACGGGGGGAAATTGAACAACATGTGCACAAGATCTTGCTGCATTATTTCTTACGGCTGCATGTGAATCTACAATTATTTCAATAAAATTTCCATAAAAAAAAAAAAGAGATGTTCCTTTAAAATTGAGATCCAAGACCAAGCTATACCAGTTATCAATGAACCAATTTCTATGCATTGGGACCCATATGTTAGTGTAGAATTGTCCTCCATAGGATTTCCAAGGCTATGATGGTCTTTTGGATAGACCAGTCTTTCTTTTGAGGTGCCTCTGGTTGGGTTCTAACCACTAACTTTTGGATTAGTAGTGGAACACTTAACCACTTGCCCCACCCAAGAACTCAAAATGGGGATTGTTGTTGTTAAGTGCCTTTGAGTCAGCTCCGACTCATAGCGACCCTATAGAGGGTTTGTGAGCAGCAGCTGGTGAGTTTGAACTGCTGATCTTGCAGTTCAAACCAACCTTGTGGTCCAGTGCTTACCCTACAGCGCCAAACGTGGCCAAATTTTTTCCCATGTTTATTTGCGCAATTAACTGAGAAGGTCATAAATATATACTTCTTCACCACTCCAACAAGAAAGATGTGAAAAACAACAAAACTTTATTTGACAGCAAATGAGAACTATATTCCCAACATAGACTGAGCCACGAGAAGTTCACAGAGGGATGCAGTGCAGAAGCTAGATCTTAGCACCATTCTTGGATTTTTGGCAAATTTCTTCAAAGTACAGCTTCTTGATTTTCTTTGAACTAAATTCCAACCCTCCCAAAAAAAGATTTTTTTTTTCAAAGTTAAGTTCCAAAATGACAATAAAGATTTGTATATTATCACCCTAGCACTTGAGTGAAAGTTATTAAAACAGTTTTTAATCTTCTCATATTGATAATGTTGATCTACACTTGTGAATAGGAGGATAGAAACTAATTTTTTTTTTAAATATTTTAACAACATCGTGGTAAAATATATACAAGGGGCTTTTCAAAAAGTTCATGAAATAATGGAATTACAACATAATGGAATTTTCCCACAAGCTTTTTGAAGCCCCCTCATATACTAAGGAGCTCTGGTAGCGTAGTGTTTACGAATCAGGCTGTGAACCGCAAGGTCAGCAGTTTGAAACTACCAGCTGTTCCGCAGGAGAAAGATGAGGCTTTCTGCTCCCCTAAAGATTTACAGCCTCAGAAACCCTATAGAGGGTCGCTATGAGTCGGAACCAACTCCACGGCACATAACAACAACAACATATACTAAAGGAGGCCTGATGTGGTGCTGTAGGATAAGCACTGGACTGAAAAACACAAAGTCAACAGTTCAAATCCACCAACCACTTCTTGAAAACCCTAAAAAGGGTCATTATAAATCGGAACCAACTCATCAGCACTTAACAACAACAGCCCAGGAAACATCAAAAGAAGATGGAAGGAAAATGAAGAAGGAAGGAATATGCAGAATGAGCGTACCAAAAAGAATCGGTCGCTGTTCAGTCATTTAAGGGGTACTATATAGCTCTGGTAGCGTAGTGGTTACGAATCGGGTTGTGAACCGCAAGGTCAGCAGTTCAAAACTACCAGCTGCTCTGCGGGAGAAAGAAGAGGCTTTCTGCTCCCGTAAAGATTCACAGCCTTGGAAATCCTGTTCAGGGTCGCTATGGGTCGGAACCACCCAGCAGCACCTCGGAATAAAGGACAGATGATCTGCTGTCCATAAAGATGACAGCCAGGAAAATTCCATGGAGCAGTTGTACTCAGCAACAAACAGGGGTGTCATGAGTCCCTTGGCAACAATGGGTTTGGTTTGGGTTTTAAATATTGGATCAACAGAGTTGTCCGTGCTAGACTTCTTGAGTGTGAGCACTGTATGAAGGTAGGAGAAGCTGTGTTCCTAGCAGATGAACCCTAAAATACTCCATGCTGAGCCATAGGGGAGTCCGAGGCCAAAGGTCAAATATTTTCCTCTCAAAAAGTTCGTGGAAAAATGGAATGGAAAAATAATGGAATTCTCCCATGAAGTTTTAGAAGCCCCCCCCCCGCCCGTACACATTTTGCACCAAATGGAAAAAGTTAATATCCGTTAGTATCAGCTCTATAGTCAAAGAACATGAATAGAAATAGATAAAACCCACATTGCTCAGTGTGTCCCACGTCATTGTTATTCCGAGATGTGATTGGAAACTGTTTGCACTGCACAATAATGCAGGGTCTTAAATCAAACAGTAGCATGGGGTTTTTGCCATAATATTGATTTTTTAAAAAAGATTATGCCAAAATATGTCTAATCTTGATGGCTGAGTTTTTTGGTGCCTCCTTAAATTTTGCATCTGAGGTATGTGTGTGATGTGCCTCCCCCTAATCCCAGGCCTGGGGAAGAAGAATCATGACTCCCCAGTATACTTGCAAACGGTTCTGTAAAACAAGCATGTCTATGTGTACATAGTATGCATGGTTTTCTATATAAAAAATATTTATGGTCTAGCTTGTATACATACATTCATGCATAATGCATATATGCTGTTTATGTTATTAAAGCAACTATTTTTCTCAAAGTAATTCTCATTTACTACTTTTGTAATCTTGTCTTGTCAGAGAAACAAGAGGTTTATGAATGATTCTTTTTTACAGTCACAATGCTTACTGCTGAGCTTTTGTTCACTGAACACAACTGTAAAGCGATGATGTGTATGTGTATTTGTTGTTGCTGCTGCTGTTAAGTGCCATTGAGTTGGTTCTGACCCATAGCAACCCTGTATAGGGTTTGCGAGGAGCGGCTGGTGAGCTTGAATTGCCGACCTTGTGGTTCAAATCAACCTTGCAGTCCAGTGCATTAACCTGCAGCATCACATCAGGACCCTGTATGGGTATTTGTGTGTCTATTTACATACAAACACGCATGTACACTAGTAGAGAGAAA